AGAGAGAGAGAGAAAGAGACAGAGAGAGCAAGAGAGGAGAGAAGAGAGTTGAGAGAGCGAGAAAGAGAGTAAGAGAGAGAGCGAGCAAGAGAGAGAGAGAGAGAGAGAGAGAGAGAGAGAGAGAGAGAGAGGTGCATTTTGATGGTCATCTATTGTTACACAACGCTACTACAAGTCCCATTTAAAGTTAAACTAAGAGTTTAGAAAAGTGCCCGTAAACGAGGGTGATATCGCTTACTAGTGGGCGGTTAGGCAGTTTTGACGGGCAGTAGTGATCACCCCATTAGTAACACGCATTATTTAATGCCATTTGGAAATACATGTAATGTACTGAGAGGTAGGCGGTAAGAAAATTTTAGCCTACTACTACTAGCAAACGTGAGCACTGACTAAAGAAAAAATGACGAATGCTGGTTTAGAAGCTTGTCTTAACTTCAGCAGACGTTTCAGGCAACCCCCCAAAAATCTGTCTTAAGCTATATTCTTTTAAAATCAACACATCCGTCTCCTGGGAAACTTATATCGTGTTCTCTCCTGTAGAAGTTTCACAAAACTTTTAAAAGAAAACCTATCTTGAGCTACGAGTACATTGTTTTTAAAATCAACATCTCAGTCCCCTGGGAAACATAATGCATCGCAGAAGCTAGCTAGGATCTCAAAAACCATGTTTCTCATATTATGTTCATTGTCTAGGCAGCACTGTAGGCTCTAGTGGTCTTTTCTAAAGGCACATGCAGCCCGGGTTGAAATTCCTCCAGTGTGCCCAGGAGTCGAGATATGTTTGAAAGCTTTCAGAGCTCTCCCGAAAACAACAGGAGAAAGGCGGTGATTGTAATATCCGCCTCCTAAATAACCCACTTTGGCTTGGAATGGACATTAAACCCAAATATAAGCGAAACCTCGTTGCATTTCACGATTTTGCTTTAGATGTGTGAGTCACATGCTAGGGAGCTGACGGCACGAGTGTGTGTTTGTTCTACTCTTCATAGTTCAAGGTTTGGGTTCAAATTGGGTTATTATTATAATTTGCCTTGTACTTCCAGTACAATGTCCCATCTACCCCCCCCCCCCCCCCCGGTACCACAAATACGAAGACCAGGGGACTTCCCCCTCGAAATGATTTACGGAGTGTCCAGCGGGCGTTAACCTTCACAGCCACAATTTACATCAGATATTTAAACTGGAGTGAGTCAGACTGAGCAAAATCAAAATCCAGACAAAACTAACTAATTCCGGATCCCGGGTTAAAAAAAGAAGATTTTTAAAAGGATCACTCAATTTCTAATATCTCTCTTTAAAAGAAAAAATCTGTTA